ACTGGTAAATGGTTAAAAGATAGGAAACAAAGGGTAGGTATATATGGTCAGTTTCAGAATGGAGAGAAGTAAATAGTGGTGTCCCCCAGGGGTCTGTTCAGGGACTAGTCCTGTTCAACATATTCATAAATGATCTGGAAAAAGGGGTAAACAGTGAGGTGGCAAAATCTGCAGATGATAAAAAATTACTTAACATAGTTAAGACCCAGGAAGATTGTGAAGAGCTACAAAAGGATACCTCAAAACTGGGTTTTGTTGCCTCAAAACTGAGCAACAAAATGGCAGATGAAATTTAATGTTGATAAATGCAAAGTAATGCACATTGGAAAGCATAATCCCAACTATACATATACAATGATAGGGTCTAAATTAGCTGTAACCACTCAAGAAAGAAATCTTGGAGTCTTTGTGGATAGTTTTCTGAAAACATCCACTCAATGTGCAGCGGCAGTCAAAAAAGTGAACAGAATGCTGGGAATAATTAAGAAAGGGATAGATAATAGGACAGAAAATATCATGTTACCTCTATATAAATCTATGGTATGCCCACATCTTGAAAAATGTGTGCAGATGTGGTAGCCCCATCTCAAAAAACTGGAATTGGAAAAGGTTCAGAAAAGAGAAACAAAAATTATTAGGGGTATGGAATGACTTCCATATGAGGAGAGATTAATAAGACTGGGACTTTTAAGCTTGGAAAAGAGATGGCTAAGGGGAGATATGAGGTCTATAAAATCATGACTGGTGTAGAGAAACTAGATAAGGAAGTGTTGTTTACTACTTCTCATAACACAAGAACTAGGGGTCACCAAATGAAATTAATAAGCAGCAGGTTTAAAACAAATAAAAGGAAGTATTTCTTCACACAACTCACAGTCAACCTGTGCCAGAGGATGTTGTGAAGGCCAAGGCCATAACAGGGTTCAAAAAAATGGAGGATAGGTCCATCAATGACTATTAGCCAGGGTGGGTAGGAATGGTGTCCTTAGCCTCCGTTTGCCAGAAGCTGGGAATGAGTGACAGGGGATGGGTCACTTGATGATTACCTGTTCTGTTCATTCCCTCTGGGGCACCTGGCACTGGCCACTGTCGGAAGACAGGATACTGGGCTAGATGGACCTTTGGTCTGAGCCAGTAGGGCCATTCTTATGTTCCCTATTTTGGCTTGTGTTCCTTCCTCCATGTTGTTAACATTAATTGTGTTGAGTATCTGGTCACCAATAACCTTTTTAGTGAAGACTGAAGCAAAATAAGCATTAAACACCCCAACTTTCCTGATGTCATGAGTTATTACCTCTCCTTCCCTGCTAAGTAGAGAACCTACACTTTCCTTTGTCTTTCTTTTGCTTCTTATGTATTTAAAGAACCTCTTCTTATGGCCTTTTATGTCCCTTGCTAGGTGTAACACATTCTGTGCCTTAGCCTTTCTGATTTCCTGTATGCTTGTGCTATAGTTTTGTACTCCCCCCTAGCAATTCATTAATGTTTCCACTAATATCAAAGAGCAGCACTGTCTCAGCCCCCACCTCATCCAGACAAGAGCTGTAAATTACTGGACTTTATCTAAATGTAAACTAATTAACAAGTTTCAGAGTAGCAGCCGTGTTAGTCTGTATCCGCAAAAAGAAAAGGAGGACCTGTGGCACTTTAGAGACTAACAAATTTATTTGAGCATAAGCTTTTGTGAGCTACAGCTCACTTCATCAGATGCATTCAGTGGAAAATACACTGGGGAGACTTATATACACAGAGAACATGAAACAATGGGTGTTACCATACACACTGTAACAAGAGTGATCACTTAAGGTGAGCTATTACCAGCAGGAGAGCGGGGGCGGGAAAAACCTTTTGTAGTAATAATCAAGGTGGGCCATTTCCAGCAGTTGACAAGAACGTCTGAGGAACAGTGGGGGGAAGAGGGGAGAATAAACATGGGGAAATAGTTTTACTTTCTGTAATGATCCATCCACTCCCAGTCTTTATTCAAGCCTAAGTTAATTGTATCCAGTTTGCAAATTAATTCCAATTCAGCAGTCTCTCGTTGGAGTCTGTTTTTGAAGTTTTTTTGTTGAAGAATTGCCACTCTTAGGTCTGTAATCGAGTGACCAAAGAGATTGAAGTGTTCTCCGACTGGTTTTTGAATGTTATAATTCTTGACGTCTGATTTGTGTCCATTTATTCTCTTACGCAGAGACTGTCTAGTTTGGCCAATGTACATGGCAGAGGGGCATTGCTGGCACATGATGGCATATATCACATTGGTAGATGTGCAGGTGAACGAGCCTCTGATAGTGTGGCTGATGTGATTAGGCCCTATGATGGTGTCCCCTGAATAGATATGTGGACACAGTTGGCAACGGGCTTTGTTGCAAGGATAGGTTTCTGGGTTAGTGGTTCTGTTGTGTGGTGTGTGGTTGCTGGTGAGTATTTGCTTCAGGTTGGGGGGCTGTCTGTAAGCAAGGACTGGCCTGTCTCCCAAGATCTGTAAGAGTGATGGGTCGTCCTTCAGGATAGGTTGTAGATCCTTGACGATGCGTTGGAGAGGTTTTAGTTGAGGGCTGAAGGTGATGGCTAGTGGTGTTCTGTTATTTTCTTTGTTGGGCCTGTCCTGTAGTAGGTAACCAGTCAGAGAACCCTTCAATCTCTTTGGTCACTCGATTACAGACCTAAGTAGCAATTCTTCAACAAAAAAACTTCAAAAACAGATGCCAACGAGAGACTGCTGAATTAGAATTAATTTGCAAACTGGATACAATTAACTTAGGCTTGAATAAAGACTGGGAGTGGATGGATCATTACACAAAGTAAAACTATTTCCCCATGTTTATTCCTCAGCCATTCTTGTCAACTGCTGGAAATGGCCCACCTTGATTATCACTACAAAAGGTTCTCTTCCCCCCTGCTCTCCTGCTCGTAATAGCTCACCTTAAGTGATCACTCTCATTACAGTGTGTATGGTAACACCCACTGTTTTATGTTCTCTGTGTATATAAATCTCCCCACTCTATTTTCCACTGAATGTATCCGATGAAGTGAGCTGTAGCTCACGAAAACTTATGCTCAAATAAATTTGTTAGTCTCTAAGGTGCCTCAAGTCCGCCTTTTCTAATTAACAGGTGACTCACCTCATGCCACAGACGCCCTTCCCCCCACCCCAACTCCAACCCTAACCTCCCCCCCAAACCTGCTCCCCTGCAAACCTCCCCCTCCACCTTACCTCTTCCCAACCCAGCTACACCTCCACCCCACCCTCTTTTGCCCCAGTTCTGCCCCCTCCCCTGAGTACACCCTATCCCCACTCCTCCCCCTCACTCCCAGCGCCTCCTGCACACCACAGAGCAGCTGATCACAGAGGGTGGGAGGCGCTGGGATGGAGTTGATTGGTGAGGCCACAAGTGGACAGGAGGTGCTAGGGAGGAGGCAGGGAGCTGGCTACCGATGGGTGCTAAGCACCCACTAATTTTTTTCTGTGGGTGCTCCAACCCTGGAGCACCCATAGAGTTGGCACCTATGCCTCATGCTACTGTGGCTTGTTGCTTAACTGAAACTAAAATATAAGAATGGAGGGAACACTACAGACATGAGGGAGTCTGAAAGATAAGATTGGAAGGGGGAGAAGTTAAACTTCTCAAAAGTTAAACTTCTGCAAAAAACAAAACTGACCACAGAACTAAAAAGCTCTCTAATCTTGTTTTCCATTTAAAAAAAAAAACAACAACTCTTTTACACTTTTGCTGTCTACATATTGACTAAGAAGCAGTTGTGATTCTGGTGGCTTTATATTTAAAGAACTTTCTATGTTTTATTACCGAAACCTTAAATGTGCTGGAATGGAACGGTCTTATATACTTTAATCAAGTTGAAACACAGAAAATAAGAAATGTACTTTGTCTGTTATCTGTTACTGAATATATTTTCTTTAATAATTACAAAAGGTAAACTTACAGGTATAGTGGAGAAGCCTCACCTGTGATCTAAGAAAAAATAATTCACTCCTCAATTGCCCTATGAGATTTTCGACTGGATCTACCTGACATACATATTCTGATGGTCCACCTTCAAGTCCACTTTTCAAAATTTCTGCCTGCAATGATTCTGGAAAGGCTATCTGTTCTTTGCTGACATCATGAAAATCAGTTAAGAAATCAGAATATTTTATCTGAGAATAGTTCTGTTCATCTTTCAGCTTCACTGCTTGTGATTTGTATGGTGTTACTGGCTTTCCAAGAATAGACTGACAAAAAATGGCAGATTTTTGACTAAGAGACAGCCCTCCCTGGAAATCTTCAGAAAATGTTTGGTCTGAACCAGAGCATATTGTTGTTTGTTTCTGAAAAGATGCTTTTTCCCCATAATTTTGGCCGTTCTGTCCTTGTATCTGCTGGCTTTTGGAATCCTTTTGAATTATTTGTGCAGCAGAAAATGAACATGGATGGTCTGATTTTAAGCCTTTTGATAGCTGTCTATTAGTTGCATAGCCTGTTGTCCCTAGTGTCTCTGTAGATTGTAATCCTGATGATCTGTAAAGTTCTTTTATAGTAAAAGTTTCTGAACTATGGCCATCATCTTTTGGCTGCATCTGTGCCAGGTGTCTAGAATCTAACTGGACAAAAATATTTCCACTTTTTTCTGACCGATTTAGATTATGAAGTACACTAGAAATTCTTCTTGATAGATTTCCCAAAGCCATGGTATTTTCAGATATATCCTTCTCAGATTTTAACACATTAAACGATGCTCGTCTAATTGAAAGTATGTTTTTCATTTCCATGTTATATGAATTGTTATCCTGTATGCATAGAAAAGTAAACAATGCTTATTATTGTTACATCAGTAGCTAAAGACAATTCATTTAGGATTGTTTCTTTAGATAGTTCCATATAGTTATTAATTCTTAGTGTAAGTCTAAAAACTGTATACTCAGACACTAACAGTTCCTATTTTGGGGCCCAACTCATACAGAAAAAAATACAATACGCATTCCCATATCATGACCCTACCTTTGCTTTAACTTCATCAACATTAACTGTGCTCATGAAGTCTGATTTCCCTTTTTTTATCTTCAGATCCTCAGTAAAGCTATCAATCAGCTGCAGGTCATCTGCATCCAATCCTAATTACCAATACATGTATGAACAACAACAAATTATTATGAATGAATTTATCTATCTCCTGACAACAAAATGAAATGTTCCAAACAATGGGCTAGATTTCTGGTCTTGTTCTGTGATGCAAAGGAGTCATAAAGTTGCTCCTGGTAGGCAGCTGATGATTCCCCTGGGGTGGATATATTTCTGGCTGGTGTAGAATTGGCATAGCCAGCTCTTTGCAATGTCTCTGTTACAAACATTTGCCTGAGGAGAGAGGGAGGGTGCGGCTGGAGCGTTCTGCACTCTGATAACTCTTCAGAAGCCATTACAAGCCAGCACAAGTTAGAACACACAAGAGGCTGGATGATTAGTGAAATAAAAAGCCAATCCATCCCTTTCCTTCAGATACACCAACTAGAACTCTGGTGCAGCTGAAGATCTGGGCCACTATCTATACTCAGCTTCATAACATTTAGATACATTAGCAAATGCGGCACATTGTCAAGTTATCCCAAATATAGCTACACAGAACCACTTTCAGTGGCTGGTCTGAAAACCGGCAAAATCTAAATAAACTGCCGTGATTCTGTCCTACCTAACATTGCCGCTCTTTTTCCTTTCTCCTGAGCCAGTTTACGAATCTGTTGTTTCAGGGCAACTCTTTCTTCTTCCAGTCTTTCAATCTGCACATTAATCAAATATTAATATTTATTTCTGTTCAGTTTCATTTTACAAAATATGCCTAAACATAATTGATCACTTGCCTCTTTTAAAAGGATCTGGTTTTCAGCTCTGTACTGCTGCTGTTTTAGTGCCTTGCTGTTTTTATATTCAGTTAAATCTATCATTGTCTTTGGATCAAGACCTGAAACACAATCCATGCTGTGTAATTATTCATTAGTTAGATAAAATAATTCTAACTTTACAAAGCATTAACACATAACCCATTTAAATAAGAATACTTTAATATTCAAGTAGGATTACAAATAATTATACAGAAAACCAATAAGGACACTTATTTTCTTCATATATAACAGCTCTTCCATGCCTAATATAATCTGGAAAAAGGACAATATTAGTTGACTTACCCATAACTAAAAGTAATATACTTAACTTCAGGTAGTAATTTATCTTTTGCTATAAAAGCCTACACAGACTAACTCATGTTTTTTTCTTTCTGCATTTTTCCATCAATATTATGACAGACAACACTATAATATTTTCTTCACAAATATCATAGTGTTAGAATGTACTATGCTGCATGAGACGTTCTGGAATCAGGAAAAGTTAGATAGCATCATAGAAATAAAAATGAAGGTTGCAAACACTACTTCCTCTTGTTCTTCTGGAGGAGGAGGGAGGAGAGAAATGTAGCTCAGTCAAGAGCAGCTTACTGACCACATTTGTTCATGAACAATCCTACAGCTAATCATTTCTTCCTAATAAATAAAGAAATAAATTAATCACTTCATTTTAGTAAGAAAAATAAAATAATTTACACACCCTGAATTACAATAAGATAAGATATTTGCATTAATAGAATGTTATTTGAACTCTATGACACAGTGAAATCTTTGTAAAATTTCATAAATGACATACCTAAGCGTTCCCTGAGGTCTTCATTTTCATCAAGAAAATCACTGATTTTAAGTTCAAGTTTGTTCACTTCCTTAATCAATCCTTCAGTCTCACGATCTCTTATTTTAATCTGCTTTTTTAAATCCTTTATTTCAGCAACAGCATCTTCCAAACCATATATTCCCTGAAATAGTCCCAAAAGTGAATTTAAAAGGACTTCGTCAATTGTCCAAACATTATACTGAAATGTTTAGTGAAATAAACATTCACTAAATGTGAATTCACTAAAGACTCATGACAGGTAAGAAGGTTATGAGTAAGTGGAGGGATTCTTTTGAAAGAACATTATAGGATTAAGTTGAAGTAATCCACCCCCTTGAAAGGCCTGATCGAAAGTCCATTGAAGAGCAAGTATAATCATTTTTCTGATCATGGAAAATAGCACTTTGTAATCAGAATGGAAGTCTTAATTTACAATACTTTACGTCTCTTTCCTTTTTTAAATTTTTGATCAAAATTTGCATATGACTATAAGTGTTTGTAAGTAGTGTCACCATGACAATGCATGCAGTTTTACTGAATTCCAGCATACCTTTGTCAAAGACCATACATACAGATTTTACATAACATCCCTGGGTCCAGAGATCTTCTTTTAGAACTCTGAAGTGTCCTATTTTTTTATTTTATCAATCAAAATATACGGGGTTCTTTAATAATTAAAAAAGTTTGCTTAAGACATATTGCTATTCCAAACAGCTTTTGCAGTGAAAAGTTGAATGAGTACGAACACAAAGGTGTTTTTTGCTCAAAGTAAATGTTAACCATACTTGTTCAATGTTTCATAATAAACTGATTCAGAACACTGAGTTATTTTAAAAAATCCTCTACCTTTGAGAAATACACATGCCTCTCTGCTGAGTCTGAGTCTAGCGCACATTTTTAAAACGTACTTTTGCATGAATATTCTGCAACCCTAAAAAATGTTGCCATAAAAAGGTTCTGGTTTTTTTATTTTGAAAATATGGTAAACAAAAACCTTCCATTGCATTGTCAAACAGAACTGTCACGTGATCACCCTTTCACAAGTATAGCTCTAAAAAAAACCCCCAAAACGTAAAGCTTATCACTGATAATCAGATATCATCCGGCAATGCGACATTTACTATTTAACAAACAACATAATTCATGCAATGGAAAGGAACTGCATCTTTTTCTTTACCCTGAGATGTACATGTGTAACATGCACACGCTAAGTCCCTGATCCTGCCATGAGCACCACACACACAGAACTCTGCAAAGAATCAGGGCCCAAATTTGCAGAGTATTTTACGCATGTAAAAATTTAAAGCACAGTTAGGATCAGGAAAGTGATTATCTAAAAATGGCATCTTTTCATTCATCTTACTTCTCCGACAAATTTTTTTTTACTTGGTGCTGCCAGTGATTCTCAGAAATGGTTTTCCCACCATCTGCAAGATGGAGGTCTGTTACTAGCTTAAGTGCTGACCCTTCAGAAGTTCGTCATCTTGGCTATCCAACTTCTGTTGTCTCAAGACAACTATTCTGGATGCTCAAATAGATGCTTCATTTACCTTGCCAAATATGGCTAACTTAAGACTCAATTCACTCATCTACCATTTACAACAAGATCAAGGAATGCATAAGAATGAGAGAAAAAACAACATGGGAAGTTGTTCATTTGACATTTGTTTTTGTTTTATTTTTCAGCTAGGACATAGTAAATGGAAAAACTGCAAACAAACAAACAAACAAACAAACAATCTGTTGAAGATATAGTCAAAAACTGCTCTTTCCATTTTATCAAACAAACTGTGTACCGTTTCATAGACTCTCATTTGCTTCAGAGCCTCAATGAGTTCTTTGTCCTTTTCCCTAGCATCAGACTCTGCTAATTCTGCCACTCTCTCAGCCTCTTTAGTTCTATGTTCTAGCAGTTGTAATTTTTCCTGTATTTCTCTAATATGATTCTGCTGAGCAAGAGATGAGAAACCTGGAAAGAAAAGCAAAATTTTGCTGTTATATTTTGAATGATTAAGAATATTAAGCTATTTCTGATATGAGGTAACTGAGTGCTTTCACAAAAAGAAAAGGAGTACTTGTGGCACCTTAGAGACTAACCAATTTATTTGAGTATGAGCTTTCGTGATCCGATGAAGTGAGCTGTAGCTCACAAAAGCTCATGCTCAAATAAATTGGTTAGTCTCTAAGGTGCCACAAGTACTCCTTTTCTTTTTGCGAATACAGACTAACACGCCTGTTACTCTGAAACCTGAGTGCTTTCACTTTGCTTGGATTGAAATCTAGAAAAGTTGCCTCAAGTAAATTATTGTTTTGTATTTGAGTTTTGGTTTTCACAAATCTTTTAACTTCATTCTGAAATAAATAGTTTTACACTAGTTTATATTATGGCCTTTTTATTTTTACAAGCAACCATTACGGCAACTTATGTGAAGTTAGTTCATATAATGGAAAATAGCATTCCATTTGAGTTCAATGGCACAACACACATTTCAGGTGTGTAAGACTTTACAGGATCAAGACTTGATATACTAAGGCCCTGATCCTGCAAAGACTTATGTATATGTTTAATCTTATGCATTCGGATTACTTCCATTGAAGCTGAAGGAAGTGCTCACAGTAAATTAAGATAAGCATACATGTAAGGGCTTGACTACATGGGAAATGTATCTAGTTATAGTGGTATAATTATACTAATGTAGTTAAACTGTTACATTTATACTGGTATAACTCCTCTACATAAAAACTCTTATTCCAGAAAAATATTTTTTTTTCCCCAGCTCTTCTTAAACTGATTCCAAAGAGACATAAATTAAACCAAAAAGAGGCATTTTATACCAGAATAATTGTCCACAAGGGATATTACACCAGTAAAGTTATAGCAGTTTAAATTCACACCTTATACCAGGGGTGGGCTCTTCAGAAGTTAATATGCGGCTCCTTGTATAGGCACCGACTCCGGCGCTGGAGCTACAGGTACCAACTTTCCAATGTGCCAGGGGGTACTCACTGCTCAACCCCTGGCCCTGCCACAGGCCCTGCCCCCACTCCACCCCTTCCCGGCCCATACCCTGAGCCTGCCGTGCCCTTGCTCCTCCCCTTTCCCCCGCCCCGGCCTAGAACCTCCTGCATGCCACAAAACAGCTGATCGGAAGGTGTGAGGAGGGAGGCGTAGGCACTGATCAGTGGGGCTGCCGGTGGGTGGGAGGTGCTGGGAGCAGGGGGAAGAGCTGATGGGGGGCTGCTGATATATTACTGTGGCTCTTTGGCAATGTACATTGGTAAGTTCTGGCTCCTTCTCAGGCTGGCCACCCCTGCCTTATACCCTTATAACTTCCCTATGAAGATAAATAAGGCCTAAATCTATGCAGAATCAGAGCCCAGCTTCATTTCTTTGCTTCTGGAGGTCTAATAAATGTTCTCTTACTCCAGTTTGTATTTGAATTTAACTTACTCTTTTTAAAGGTAATTTTTCACAGTCACAGTGAAATGATCTACTTTTAAAATTGGTATATAGGCAATCTATTACTGTTTGTATATATAACTATGCAAGAGAAAATGTAACTATATTTCTGAGTAAAACTTACATAAGTCTATAGAACTTGAAGAAATATGACAAGTATTTATAAAACAGACGTTAATACTAGATACTTCAATAACTATAAACAATTAATCTGATCACACCCACACACTGAAAGCCAGTCCCCAATGTTTGTAAAATGGAAATAGTGAATCAGTAAGAGAATAAATTTCATTCATAATCTTTAAAAATACTGAAAACAATGTAAAGTTTTAAAAAATGCTCATTACAAGTTGACAACATATATCTTTAAATAAAAATTTCAACTTACCTTTATCTTTTTGGAGTTCATTTTTCAAATCCTCAATAATCAATGCATTTTTTTCCATTTCTTTTGTATATTGTTCAACTTGCTCAGTGAGCAACCTGATCTGACTGTCTCGTTCTTCCACTCCCTACAAAAATGCAATTATGTTAGAAAAGTAATTAACATTTAATAAACTACTAACACAGAGTAACTTACTACTTTGAACAGAAAGAAAATGAAGAGATGTAGAACAATTAATACAAAAAAAAATCTGAAAGAAAGAAACAGTAATACTTACAACATAAAGTTCAGATATTATCTAGTAGTTGGGTATATAAACGCAAAGCAGTAAAAATAAAAGAAAAATAGTGAAAAGTAAAATATACAATTAATACTAGCTTGTAAAAATAATTCTTAAAGCAATACCCTTTAAATACATATTTATTAAGCTGTTTTGAGATATATATCAACTTCAGTGGACCAACCAAAGTTAAGCATGTGCATGTTGGCAAGATTGGGGTCTTTCTTGCAAATTCCTCATAAGCATCTGGTCCTGGCTACTGACAGAGACAGGATTCTGGACTAGACAGACCACTGGCCTGTAGGGCAATTCGTCTGTTCCTGGTTGCATGTGTCTTTCAGAGGTTTAGTGAAAATTTGGTTGGGATTTCTCAAAGTTAGAGGTTTAAAAAATAAAAATGTACTTTGTACCATCTAGTTCTATATGTGCAATGTAAGCTCTTAAAAGTATGCCACTATTCTACAGATTCTGTGCATGCATGTGCAGCTTCGGAAACTGCATACAGAGTATAATGTATTTCTCTATGCTGAGTGGAAGGAGAACAGTTCAAAAGAAGTCACAGAAAGACTGTATAACAGAAAAGTCTCAAAAACAACAGCTGAACTGATTTGATAAAAACTTTGCAGAAACAAAAGTTCGGTCTTTGGCAGAAATCAAACCAGCCATATTTCAGCTGAAAGGTAAGAGACTGACACAGTTGCATATGGTTTTACAATTCCTTATTTCTAATGTCAATAATTTTCTACAGCAAAAGTGAAAGGACACCAAATTTGTGTGGAACATGAATAATGTTGGGACTAAAATGAGGGACACTTGAAAGGAGGTAAAGCTTTGCATAGATCTGAAACAGATGCTCAACTGCCCAATGACATAGTGTTTTGACACATGGACTGTACAGGCAGTTGTTTAAAACAGAGGTTATGACACATGCACGTTTGCATAGACTGTACCTGCTGGAGTGCCATAACGTTGTTTTTGTCTGCATCAAGTTGAGCCATTTTCAGTTTCTCTCTCAAGTTAAACAACATCTGCTGATATTCTATGATTTCATCATCTTTAGAAGCCAAGATTCTCTGCAAGGAACATAAGCAACATAATAAGGAGAGACACTTACAATAATTCCTAAACGTAACATGCAATCAGAAACTACTATAAAGTACCTTCCATTCTTCAACTTTTGCATTTACAGCTGCTATGAGGGGATCATCTTCTTCATTTTTTGCTTTAAGTTGGTCTGTTAGTTCCTGGGTCTGTAAATTGACATTGATTAATTCCATAAAAATTTACACATTATATTATATTATACACACACACACACACCCTGTAAATACACTTATTACATTAATGCTATAGCAGTGATGCAAACTTGTAATACACTTAGAGGAATGTTAACATTTTATATGAAGCTTTTTTTCTATGATTTATAATCAAGTTCTCAACATTTGTGCTGGGTTTCAAGTAGGCTCTCTAGTCAAGAACCATTTTTTTGTTTTGTTTTCTTAAAGAAAGTAGCATTTTTTCTTATTTGGAGTTGAATAAAATAAGCTGAACATTTTTTCTCTGCTAGAAAGAAAGCTGCATTTTTAAAACATTAAAAAAATCATGTCTTAGGTTTAAGGCAAATCGCCACTGTGCAGCATTGTCCAGAAAATTACATACCCTTCAATAATGGACAAGCCATTTATTACCTGAAACTTATACTGTTCATTTTCCTTTCTTAATTGGTCCATAACAATATCAGACTGCTGCACAATAAGTTTCATTTTGTTATACTCATCAGTCATCTTCTCCATTTCCTGCACTGATTCTTCCAAGTTCTTCCTCATTTCCTGGTTTTGAGCTTCTAATTTCTCATTAGTTTCAGTCAAACTCTACAAAGTTAAAGAAAAAGTTACTTTTAAAAATATATGGTTTGGTACTTCAAATCTTGTATCACTATATAACTGTTGTACTAAATGTAGGGTCTGGAAGGTTTAGGGGATTAGTAATGGGATACACTCTAGATGACCACTTGAAATCCAGCCCAGTCTGTTAGGCACTGAAAGGTTATGCCAAATGACAATAAAATGATATCATTATCATTGTACTAAATTGATTAAGCATCCATAAACACTACCTGAATTTCATCCAGATATTGGACAAGCTCAAAGTTCTTTTTGGATAATTGAGATCTGTAATCAGACTCATCTCCTCTACGTGACATATGCATTTCCTTTTGTGAATCTATTTGTCTCTGGTAGTCAATTACATCCTGGCGAAGTTGTTCATTCTGCATACAAAGAAGCCCCAAAATAAAGAATTAGTAAAAATTAGAGGTTGAAAATCCTATTTTTCTAGAAAGCTACCACACGCATTTAGGACAGTAAAAGCTCATTCAAATTCCTACAGTATGCTTTTGAATACCTTAGATCCTCACCTTTTTCTTTATTCGTTTTTTCTCCAAATTAAAAAGGACAGAACAAAGTAAGAAGAAAGGAGATGAAAAGCAACACAGAATTAGAAATAATACATTTAAAAAAAATAAGACAAGCAAAAAGACAAAATTTTTAAAAATGCATATCTTTATATACATTAACAAAGAATAATGGAAATATATATTAGAAATTAAAAGACTACCAAGCACATAGCTTCTAAACTTAAACAGGTGAAACTCATCAGTTTTGACTAGGTAGGGAAAAATTAGTTTTCAAAGTCTCAAACTCACTGAAAGTTCACGATCTGGAAATTTCTCAGCAGATAGAAAAAATACCAGAAACTAAAAAGGTTTGTAAGATTCTTTTGAATGTCCTTTAAAACTTGCTCTAAAAGGCAGCCAAGTGACATTTCACACAGCCAGTCAACAGGAATATAGAACACTACAACCAATGACATGAGAAAGGAGCAGTGCAGCAATGGCATTGGTGGAAGAAGTGCATCTTGGTAGCTGTGGCCTGAAAGAGGACCTAACTGATGGATGAATGATAGAAAAAGAGAAGGGAAAAACTGCAAAAGTTCCCACAAACAAGAAAAGAAAAGTGTCCAGTTGCCTAAAATACCCTATGAGTATCACTAAATAATCCACCCTGAGAGATCAGCCTAACCATTATTTTACTTCATTTTGGCATCTGTTAAGGAAAAGTTAGCACATGTGACTCCATTTTGGTTTGGGGCCACCATTATCTAAAAGCAAGCACATCATGCACCAGGAGGAGTCTGTCTTCTGCATTCCTGTGAAAATCCTCCTCCTTGTCTCCAGCCCGCCTTGACTCCCAGTATCTGTTTTTTTGTCGGTCCCTAACTCCCTATCTCCTGGCCTTTGATGTGAGGCCTCCCATCCTGATAATAAAAGTTACTAATGCATGGCTTTAAGACCATGCTATGTAATTAATATACTGGTTTAGCACAAATAATGCACCAAGCAGAAATAGGTGGTAAATAAAAAAAGGGTTTGTTTATTGGCTAAGGTTTCCAATGCACGAGGGCAACATGCTTTGCTAAAAAGTATATAACCTTTGTATAATCTGTATTCGGGGTCCCCTCCTGGCTAGCAGGGGGGCACCACGCTCGAGCGTAATAAACTTAGTATTTTTTGGGAACTCTGCAGTTGTGGACTTTGTTTATGTGCCTCAGCCTAGATTCGAACTGTGCGTGACCTACCAGGTGTAATCCGTAGCATTTGTGTGCATGTCCTACCAGGTATAATTCGCAGCAGTTGTGTGCGTGTCCTATCAAGTATAATTCGTAACACATCTAAAGTAATGCAGTATATTTAAATTTAAATTATTGTATATTATGACTCTAAAAAAAAGGTTTTTATTATTTCATATTTTTATTACAGTAGACCTCAGAGGCTCAGTCAAAATAATGGCCCCATTGTGTTATGGGCTATGCAAATTCAAAGACAGGTGCAATTCCTACCCTCGAAGAGCCAAGTTTCACCAAACATGTACTTCTTTTAAAGGAGAGTCTTAAAATCTTAAAATCTAGAACTTAACGTTTCCCTAGTTCCAGTACTTGATAAATGTGCCAAAATAAAATTAGACTGTTGCGTCAAAAATTAAAGAGAAACATATATGAAATAAATTAAGTCAGTCCATTAATTCGATAGGTATTGTATGAAACACTTTTGTACTAACCTCTCTTCTTAACTTGCTGTTTTCATTTTCTGCATCCTCATTTCGAAGAGCAAGCTAGAATGACAAGAATAATGTCTTTATATATATTTTAAATAGCTTAACTGTCATATGTTATGGAATCTCAGAGCCAAGTTCTATACTTGGATACATACTGGAGAAGACAATGGGAGGTACTTCATTTGGTCTTAAGTTTAGAATTCCTCAGGAGAGTAAGTAGTGCTGGCACAAACCACTCAACTACATACATAAGGACTAAAGGCCATCTAAAACTCAATTTGATTTTCTACAATTAAATGTATCATATATATAGTGCTTTTACAGTCTTAAAGCACCATAAATACTTTAACCATCACAGCAACCCTGTAAGATAGGTGATACTATTATTCCATTTTAGATATGGAGAAACAGACACACAGATTAAAGGTCACAAAGTGAATCAGTGACAAAACTAATATTAGAACTGAGGAGTTCTCAAACCCCACACCATTCATGTTCCCCTACTTCATGCAGGCTCTCAAAAGTATGCATTAGAATCTTATGATAGTTTTAGAGATGTTGAATTGAGAAATTTCTTACCTGATCATTTTCTTTCTATTAGCAGCTTCTCTCCAAATTAATTACTCATGGACTAATTAATTCCTCCACCTGGGGAATTCACAGGTAGTCCAATGTTGTTGCAGGAGACTTGAGGGCTAAGCTTCACCCTTCAGCTCAGGCCACCAGAAGAGTTCTTGCACCGTCACAGAAACATTCCAGCAAACAATTATTAGCTTTAAGGCAACTATACCCTTAAGACAACATATGTCTAAATCTTCCTTTAGAGAAAATTTTCAGTTATATTCTGGTGAATTACCAGACTACTAAACTGGATGAAATTCAGAGAGAAGCTGCTAACTGAAAGAAAATTATCAGGTAAGAAATTTCTCATTCTGTTGCACAGCTTCTCTCCTCATTTATTACTCATGGGAAGTAGCAAGCAGTGAATCCCAGTAGTAGAGAGGGAAAGGAGAAGCAGTTTAATTATTATAGTAGAATAATATGCAGGAAAGGAAGATCCCCCCACACAAAGCAAGAGCTTTATGAACTAAGGAGCTGTGTGGGAACCAAAGCAGTAGCATCTTCCTACCAAAGGCTGCAGAGGAAAGAAAACTTACTTTGTAAATCTTCCTGAGATGAGGCTCATACACTTTCCCCCAGTGCCTTTAGGGACTTCTACAAACAGTTTCCCATATGCCTAACAACTGTTGCAGGATTTTTACATCTTGCCTGCAGCAACCTCAAGCTCTTGGCATTTTGGATAGAATAGGATGAACCAACTACAGTTGGTATACGTACTCCATATGCTGGAGCTATACCTTTAGAGCTCCAGGAACGCGCATTTGTTCCACAAGCTTCCAAGGGTTCATACAAAATGATGGAAGAACTATTTCCCAGGAATCGTGGCAAGAGGAACTTACCTTGAACAGAAAAATTTCTGGAGCTATAAAAATAACCTTTTCCTTATGACAAAGTTCTTGTATGGATATGGGAACTAATTCCAAAAGTTGCCTTCAGAGGCAATGGTGATGAGAAAGACCAGGCAAGGTATGTCTAATTTGTCACTGTGATTAAACTTGGCACCTGATGCTAAAATGGAGTTTACAAAATGCTGGTATGGCTGGTATCCACGTTTCTAAGTAGGACTCCAACCAAACCTCCTGGAGAAACTCTAGTAAAGCTAAAATCGCCAGAACTTTGGGATTATTATTTGCATCACATCTAGTGGTAAAGGCCCCACTGTGCTGAGCACAGTGCAAACACTACCCCAAAGAGCTTTCTGTTTCCCCTCACACCAGAAACATAAATTTGACCAGATCAATTAATTATTGTGATTGACTTCTGTCTGGATACCAAACTGTATTAGAATGAATGGAAAATCCATGCTGAACTACACTTCTCTTCTGATACCCAGGCTGTTAAATGCAGATGTTCCCAATCTTAAAGGAGGAGTCCCTGCTTCAAGAGGTCTGGTGTTTTCTGCAGGTACAATATGGGGTTGTTGGCTGTCTGGCATGTCTAAAGTTTCTTCTGGGCCACTAGAGCACTAGAGCTGGAGCACTAGAAGGAGGACCAAAACTCTCCCTTTTCTTCTTTTCTGTATCTTTTAGGTGAACTCTCTGGAAAGGTAGCAGATTCTCCTCTACCCAGGACATTATTTCCATTACCATAGAGAAGCTTTGACCTTTTGTTACGCCTAGTTTTGGAAGTGATATAAACACTCATGCCTCAAACATAAGCAAACCCCTTACGGAAAGTAGGAGGAGACTTCCGAGAGTACCATAATTGCCCACTATGTATTTTCTTGCATCTCCTACTAATGCGGCTGGTACGGGTTGCACCATAGACAGTATAGGGGACTTGATGGACGGCTGGTATGAACTCCTAGGGCCATGTATGTGATGTATTTTTTAAGATACACCCAGACAGAGGTGTCGAAATGAACTAAAAGGATGTGTACTATTAGATTTTGGAAATCTTGTATGCTTGCTTCCATAGTAAATATGCAAAGATCTAGATTGAAAACTGGGTTGGCTTTCCACGTTATTTGCACTTACTGTCACAGTTCAGGAAAACTGCACCTCTATTCTCTCCCCCATGGTCGCTCGAGGGCACCCACTCTAGGCTCTTGGCTTCTCAGCTGTCACCTCTCTTGGTTGGAGACCCATGTCTCTCTCCATCGTGGGCAGGATTTTGTCCAGGACACAGTTTCCTGCCTACACTGTGATATCCCCAGCAAGCTAGGCTGCCTAAACAGGCCAGTGTCTGTGCTTTTCTATCTCTCCGAAGGCTTATGGAACATGTGATTGCCAGGAGTCATAAGTTACAACACAGCCTTTTATAAGCAAGCACATTTATTCTTAAGCTGAAAGCATTAGAGATATTAAAAATATTAAAATAAAAGTTCATCTATGCATGCTAAAAACTTACAAGCAGTCACTCATCAGTCTTTTGGGGCCTCAGTAAGCTAAAGTCCTTCTAACTCTTCCCAGGAAGGATTGGGGGCCCTTGAGCAAAAGGTCCTGTCCATTTGATTAATCAGAAAGAAGGCACTAAGTCAGTTTAAACTCAGGTTATTTTTTCAGAAGTCCTTTTTTGTCTGTTGGTCTCTGGAGAATCCAGTTTGAACTAGTATATGCAAGCTTCGCTAGGTACTTCTCTGGAAATGTCGCAATCTGAGTGAATTTGCCCAACCACTCCACCCTGTTCTCAGTTCCTGGAGAAGCTGTGGTCACCCTACCCCATGAAATTATATACAGTCTCTTGCCCACAATAATACATACATCTAATACCATAACGTCTTTCAAGGATATTGCAGGAAATTTCTATATCTGTCACACTTAGCTGCCCACAAAGGGGTATTTGGATATCATCTGTGAATGACACCTAATTTACATTGCATCAAGTGCATCGTTCTATGTCCTCAGAAGGATTTTTAGCAGGTATATTTTGAGAAAACCCACTCATGGGATGAAGCTAATGCATGGCACCAGCAATCCTAGCCATTAGAGATATATGGCTATTGATGATCCCTCAAGAAGTGATTGATGCAATGAAGTTTTAGATCTTTGCAAGTCTTTACCATTATGGTAAAATTACAGCCAAAGACATGTCTCTTTTTGACATGTTGGTGACAAATTCTCTGCATTGGGATCAAAAGATCTTGATTATGAAGAACTGGTGGCTATGAATCCTTTTCAGCAGCTGTTCATTTATGAAAGGGTCCATTTCTCTGGACAGGGTACTGATTGGCATGTTATCTATGCATGGGTACAGGTGTGTAACATGTCATCTGTGCCTTGCTGTGACTACTTTCACCACTTAAGATTCTGGGTACAGAGGACAGCTCAGAAAGAAGAGTCTTGCACAGGAACTGTGATCTCTTGTAAACAAACACTTTATGTCTTTGTCATTGTGATGGCGTATACAAACCCCATACTGGGTCAGAAGGGGTTAAAGGACAGCATTGGGCCCAGGTAGCCCCGCCCTTCCAACCCTGCAGAGCATGCTCCAACTGCAGAAAAGGTTGAAAAGGGAGCAACCCAGCTCAGAAGAGGGGAGGAGGACACACCTATCCTGAAGGCTCCTGTCAAGGTCACCAGAGAAGCCTCCCTGAGGGAAGTGAGACTATATGCTGAGCCGGTTGGCACTGACAATTCGGTTATCTGGGACTGAAAGCTGTGAGAGAAAAGCAGCACTAGGAAGCAACCAAGGGAGAGTAAACTCAGGGGGCAACTTTGGGGCCCAGATACTGTTGACCCTTCTACAGCCCTGGGTCAGAGCCTCCCTAGCAATGCCCCCCACTACAGGAAGAACTCCGAGTCACGTGTACCCCTCACTGCACCACTGAGTAAAGGAGGACCAGGACTGAAAGACTGGGAGGGAGGGGGCACCATGTGTTCTAACCGCTAGGCCACTTAACCCACCAAGGACTCTATTACAGTCATGCTGAAAATTTTGTTGCTTTGGAGGAAAACTTCTCTAGGTTTCTGTGACACTCTATACCTCGGGGGAGCACCCTGTAACCACCATATTCCTCATTTTTATATAATTGTGATATTGCATATAAACCAGGCCATGTGAGGTATCAGGGGAAAGGTTATGATCCGCTAAAACCCACTGTTCCATCTAAATATGTACATCATTAATGCATATGAAGTTAGGAGAATGTGTTGTATGATTCTCACTAAAATATGCTGAGAGTTGGGGAATCGTCCAGGTATTAGATCCCCAGAGACAAGGACAAGGGGGCTAACCAACACCCAGGCGGGTGTCAAACAACCATCAATAGCCATTGTCCTGCAAGGGTTACAGTTCAATGACTCATTTGCACAAGGCCACACCAGGGGAATTGCTCAACCTTGACTGGTGACTCAGCAATGCCCACAAGTCCAGGCATGTCTGGTGTTCTCCAAGCACATGGACTTAGCCCTAGTCTACACTAGGAGTTGAGGTCGAATTTAGCAGCATTAAATCAATTTAACCCTGCACCCGCGTCCACACGACGAAGCCTTTTT